CCACTCTCCTCCTGCGCGTGATCATGCATGCAGCCTATCGTCGTCTTGTTGGTCGTTTACTATACCTGACAGTCACTCGTCCAGACATAGTTTATGTTGTTAATCTCCTCAGTCAAGCCATGCAATCACCTACTCAGGCTCACGAGGCGGTCGTTGCTCGTGTTCTCCGGTGCCAAAAAGGCTCCGCTGGTCGAGGTATTTTTCTTTCTTCTTTGGCTCCACTTACGTTAACCGGGTTTTGTGATGCGGATTGGGGCGACTGCCCCACCACTCGTCGTTCCACGACAGGTTTCTTTATCACTCTTGGTGGTTCACCGATTTCTTGGCGAACTAAGAAGAAGACGATTGTCGCCCGATCATCCACAGAGGCAGAATATCAGGCTATGGCCAGTACAGTGAGTGAGTTGATCTGGTTGTGATGGCTTCTCCGAGATCTTGGTGTTTTCTCTCCTGCGCCTACTGTTTTACACTGTGATAATCAAGCAGCTCTCCACATTGCTACTAAACGCGTGGAGATGGACTGCTACTTTGTCAGGGAGCGCGTTCAATCCGGTGAGATAGTCCTGTGAAGATCGCTCCGATCAACCAGCCGATTTATTTACGAAGGGATTGAGCGTTGATCAGTTCCATCATCTCTTCGTCAAGCTTGGCCTTCTTGACATTCACTCCTTCGCCTCGATGGGGAGTGTAGTGATCTCTAACTACACACTAATAAATTTAGGGATCACTCTTGTTATTTTCATTATCTCCACGTTGTATGAGGATTCGGAGAGCTAGGGTTATTTTTCATATATATATATGTGTGTGTGTGTGTGTGTGTGTGTGTAAGCAGCCGCACCTGCCGTTGTAACCAAGAGAGAAGAACGAGTTGTGATAATAAGATTTCAGCCTGAGAGCCTCAATTTACTTTCTTTACTCGCACTATCGATTTTTTGACAAAAAATAAATAAGCGTAATTTTCACTTCCTAATTCGTCCCAAATATGGTTGCAGTTTAAAACTATGAAATATTACCTAAAGAGCATGAAAATCACACTTAATATCTAGAATGTTATATAGAGGCAAGTGACATTGATGGCAAATGTGTCTTAAATTTTGCGTATTACCCAAATCCAACTTATTATGGCCAAATCAAGTTTGGGTAAATTTATGTTTGGGGCATACCCGTACCCAATTGTTTAGCTTGGGTCTCAATTTGACCCATTGTATTGGAAGTCCAAAAAGAAAATGGATATGCAATTACTAGCTTGCTACCCGACCCATTGGCCGGATGCATTTCGTCAATAGTTTATATAAAATAGAATTATTAAAAATGTAAAAAAAAAACATACAAACATAGAATTTTCTGCCAATCTACCTGATTAATCAATGAATGTCCTTACTAAAAGTAAAAATATAACTCATGTAATATAATCAATCCCATTCTTTTTAACTTCGTTGCGATTGCTCCACCTAATAGCATCATCATCTCCACCAACTTGTAAAAAAAATCTCCACCAACAACAATGTCTTCATTTCTATCAATGAAAACGATCTCTACCATCAATAGTCGGAATCCACTACCTCCGCCATTACCAAACTCTTTCTTCTTATCCTATATTTCATTAAAAACAAAAGTTTAATGGTAAAATGTTTGCAAATTTCAAACATCATTTCAATGCCAAATAGAACTGACCTCGCCTAAGTCATGAGCATTGTCCGAGATTTTCTCTTTATCTCCATTGAAACAACTATCTCCACAATGAATATCCGCTTTTTTCTTCTCAACAATATCATTACCTTGACCACCAAATCCAATAACTCAACCAACTTGTGATTTTGCCCAAGATTGCTAGTAAGATTTCCCAACCAAGAGAAACAATCCATGAGTTCATATTTGTACCTCATGTCTAAGTCTTAGTTAAACACTCTTGATGTTTAGTTTGGACTATTGTGAATACTTTTTAGACAAATTGTTAAAGTACATAATGTTCCACTAAATTTTCTTTCATCTTTTTCAAACAAACTTAACTCTAAACTAACAATTTCCTAAAGATCCTTACCTGTTAGCCGTAGTCCACTAGTCCTTTGATTAGATCACAACTACAACTTCTCATCTCACCATTAACTAAGAGGTCTTGGTCAATTCTATCACGAATATCATTTGTCTCATCAATTTCAAGCATATTATTTCATGGATCGGTCAAATCGCCAAAATTATTTACTGTCATCCAAGGCTATTTTGTACAAATATTAAGAAATATTCATGTTGATTGATTTTACATATTTAAACGGGAAATCTTGAATAGGCCCATTGGTTTTACCCGGTCCATGTGTAATGTGCATTGAATATTTATTTTATTTTTATGTGGTACGAACAGAGACATTGTTGATACCATTTGTTATCAGTAAAATCAAGAATACTATACACTAAATTGTCGAGTACTATTGTATAAATCAAGATTGTTTCATTAGTAAAAAATAATTTTCATAAAACCATATGAACTACCATGGTCTAACTGGTCCACGATTCAATATTCTAACCACTATTTTTTAAAAAATACCTTAACGTAAAGTAAGACCATCAAACCATAATTATTAATTTTATTTCTGCTTCATCTTTTCATTTTCAAACATTGTTGTCGACTTTACGTGGTTCACTACAGACTGGCACCGTAATTTTAACCTAAATTAAAAAAATATAATTTATTTTGTGAGACAATTTGAATGATTTATTAGATATTTTAGTTATAATATGAATTTGAACTTTTTATGGTGAATAATAACTTCATTCTTAAATTAGTATAATATACCATTCTTGTATGTCATCTATCATGAACGGTTCTATCAACGATTTTATAACGGTTAACCACTCAACTCTAAACCACTAACTTTTTCGGTTCATGTTCCAGTCCGGTTATACAAACATAGAAAACTAGAATTGGAATGGTATTGGCCAAGAATAGACGATAGTGGCTAGATAATAATAATGATGCTTTGTATATTGAAACCCATAAAAGTACTGTCGTGCTCAAAGGGAACGGTTGGATGTGTTGGTGTTCTCAAAAGCCCATATTATTCACTAAAACCAAAATGACCAAATAATCCTCCCTTGCTCTGCGCAGGAAGCAGCAAAAGTGAAACCAAAGGGGGTTTGGATAGGGATGGCAACAAAACTCGAACCCACGGGTACCCACCCGATCCAACCCGGTCAACGCGGGTAAAATCCGTGTTGATGGGTTTTGGGCCGGGTTTGGGTTTAAACCCGTTCACTATTCATTGGGTTGGGTTGGGTTTGGGTTTAGGTAAACCCGACCCGTGGGTACCCGCCCACACCTATATAATTAATTTTCTCGGTATATTTGATATTCTAAGCAACTAATCTTATTTATGTTTGTGGATACATGTCTAATTTTTTCTTTCTAATTGTGTAGAATTAAGTTGATGTTATCGAGTAGAGAGTGAAAAAACTTAATTAAAAAGAAGAAGCTTTCAATTAATCATGTTATTTATGGATAATTTGTGATTTGCTTCAATTTTCTTGAGTTTTCTAAATTGGTATTGAACAATTTGTATAGTTAATTTGTGATTTGCTTGAATTTTCTAGAATGGTGTTTTATATATGGATAATTTGTATTGAGAGATTGATATTTGACTTTAATTTTGATAGGAACTTGTTATTATAAATTTTTACGACAAAAACCCGTGGGTACCCATGAACCCGCGGATACCCAGCGGGTTGGGTTGGGTTTGAATTTTTCAAACCCAATAGGTTTTACCCCGGATTTTTTTCACGAATAAACCCATGGGTTTGGATTTAGGTTTGGCAAAACCCGACCCAACCCGACCCATTGTCATCCCTAGGTTTGGAGGAGAACCTCCATATATTGATTGTAGGATTTAGGATAATGCAATTTTTGTCTTACTTTTTCTTACGAATAAAATTGAAAGGTTAAAACACATACAATAAAAGTGTCCAATTGAATTGAAAGTAGTTAATGAAATAGTTGATATTGTTTTTGTGTATATAATTATCTAGACCCAATAGATCCATTTGGGTATAACCCAAATGAATTGACCCAAATAAAACATAATTCAAACCCAACCCAAACCCAAAATCGATAAAATTGCATATGGGTCCATTTGTGTCCGAACCAATGACGATATGAATAATGACATTTAGGTCAAATAACCCAATGGATCTACCCATTGTCACGTCAAAGTGAAGCATACAACCTAGTTATACTTGAAAGAGTATGATGGTAGCTAAAAATCCCCTGAAAATGGATTGTGATAGTAAATTTGGGATGAACAAATGAGTTCCATCTGCTGACAATTTAAAAGTTGTATCACTTGTCACCCTTTAGAGGTTCAACTACAGTGTCAGAGTTATTGGATCATGGACAAAAGACTTGGATAATGAATGTTCTACGAGAACATTTACATCCACAAGACAGGCAAAAAGTTTTTTTTTTTTTATTTCTAAGTGATACCAAGAGAGAATAAGAGCTATCCAGAAATCCCCTGCAAGCAACATTCTAGTGAACCCACCCAACAAAATCGAAGACTCTAGCTCTAGACAAGGCAATATCAGTGCTTTACGCGCCACTCTATGGGAAGCACTGTTGCCAGTTTTAGGAACTGCCCTAAACTCTATACAAACTGACAAAAAGTCCAGGATCTAACGACACTCTCGGAGCACTGGACCACAAAATGGAATCTTCTAGGACGTCTTGTCGGATCTGCTTGACGGCCATCTCGGAATCACCTTCCACACAATCACGTGATTCAAGGATCTTGAGGTCACATGGTGATAGCGTCTATTGCTGCTAGGAGATCTGCCAGGTAGGGATTGACCACTCTCTGGTGACGCACGTCGGTTGCCAACACCACATGCCCGTCTGACCCACGAAAATCAAGACCAAACAAGCACCCAACATTGAACTTCAAAAAGTCTTCCAGCGACGGCTCCAAGTCCAAGGTGGCAGGAGGAAAGAGCGGGAGGCGGAAGGGGATGAAGACTTCAAAAACCTGATAGTAAAATTGGCTGGCGAAAAAATACATCACTTCGTTGGCATACATATTACATTACCACTTACATTATACAAATATTTTAATACTACGTAATTAATTACAGGTGATAGCCCACAGTACCAAGCGGTACTTTTTCAGACCGGCGACGTGGCAATGTCATGCCAGGGTGGCAGACCTTTTTACACAACACATGTAATACTTATATCATCTAGAAGTGGCAGCAAGCAGCTGCCGCTGCTATCTTTCCTCCTTTTTCTACGCGCTTTTTTCTTTCCTCATTTTATTTACTAGTAAAAACACTCAGGGCGGCTGGAGCTAAAATCACAAAACTCAGAAATTATTAGGGAAACTAGTACAAACAGGCATCATTGTCTTTATGATGGTGGATGCATGCATCTTTCTCTGCATGCAGTTTCTTTCTGGGTCTGGTCAGAAGAAATGAAGGATGTCCTTTTGGAAGGCATCCCTCTGGAGCAGAGAGGCAGCAGCAGAAGGACCAGATCCAGCACCACCATTGCTGATATTGTTGTTATCATCTGTTGTAGGGAAGTTGTTGTGGTTCAGATTCATACCCATGAGGAAAGGCTGGTTTTGTTGATGATGCTGCAACTGGTGGATTGGGATGACACTGGAATCTCCAACTCCGCCATTGTTGCTGTTGTTTAGGTGCATGCCCATCAGGAGAAATTGCTGCTGCTGCTGGTTGGGATTAGGAATGTCATCCAGATCCTGCTCATGCTGCTGATTCTGGCTCTGGTTCTGCTGGTTGGCTATGGATGAGAGCTGTGGGAATCATGTAACCATAAGGCAAAACAGTGACAGAGATGGTGAAAGAATTATTTGAAATGTCTTTGTTCTATTTCTTTTCTTTTGAAATTTGTGATTGCATGCAAGTGCAAGTTTCCAGAATTACATGGTGAGATTTTACTCTGTTGTTCATTGTACCTCGTTTTCCATCAGCAGGTTTTCTGGAGGAAGAGGTATCTCCTGCACAAGAGGGAGGAAAATCTTATTGGAGTTGGGAGAAAAATGGGAAAGCATAGCACTTTTGAGGAATAACCATAGTGTTTACATTCTCCTATGTTTAGTTTTGCTTGTCTTTGTTTGTTTCAGGGCAAAACAAAAAGCTATTTTCTCGAAGGGGCATGCATGCACTTGGAAAAGCTGGTGCCTTTTGTGGTCCCTAAATCACAGTACAGTAAGTAGAAGTCTGAAACTTCTCTGTTTTATTCCCGGTGTCTTCTTCATATATGAACAAAAAAGAAAGCCAATAAAACAGTACTCGCAGAACCCATCAAAGTACTCGGCCTTAGCAGCAACTCCATTTTCCATATCCTTATGACCTTTCGTTAGGATTAGTGGAGCAACCAAAAGAACTATGACCCACTTGCTATTTCCCTTTTACAAAGGAACCTCTCCCCCATAACCCACTCCTCCACCTTCTCCCTTTCTTTTCTTACTGTTTTCTTTCTTCCCATGCAGATAGGTTCTAGCAGCTGCCTGATTAAGAAAAGAAATATCTGAACCTAGGCAATGACAAGATATGGCAAGTTGGCAGATTCAGTCACTAGTACACCAAAAACTGGTATATGGGACAGGCTCAGAATCCACAGCTAGGAAGCAGTGGTGTTCATGTTATCTGCAAATATCATACCCAGCCTTGTTTCTCTCATATGCATAGGAGCTTACAAACTTTATACTAGTCAGTCCTACAAGTTCCACATTCATCAACTCACCTGTCAGCCTGCCACAGTTCATGGCAATTTCTTCCTAATTCCAAAGCTCAAAAGCTATGTTTGTCTGTAAATGTGTTGTTGTTTCCTCAAGAGTTGGTTTAAGTTACCACGAGGAGAGATATGCAATGAGGTTTTTTTTTTTAACTATCAGAACTAAGCGAGACAGCAGATGTGTACCTGCTGCTGAAAGCCCGTAACAGATTGAATCATTAGCTCCGTCTGCATAAGGCCATCGAGATAATGTCACGAATTGCTGTTTCAAATCATATTTGAACATATCTACAGGTATAATAAACGAATATGAAAACTGGAATTCACAGAGTGGGCACAGTGAAGAGTCGGATGCCTCTGTTTCATTGTTATGAATTCGGATGAACCACTAAGTGAAGAACATATTAGGAAATGTTTTCCCTCTAAAGCAGAGTGCCTTTGTCCAGTCAATTAAGAACTAGACCTTACTTGACGACGAAGTAGCTTTATAGCTCCTAGCTAGACAGAGGAGTATAAGTATACTCTCTCTGAACTTATTATAACGCATAGAGAAGGCACAGTATATTAGATTTGTTCTTGAATACTGACCTTTCGAACTTGGGCTTCCCTGAGCAAGGACTCCAGGTTCCTGACTAGTTGCGTGACTTGTGTTAGATCCAGCTGCACCACAGTCTTCGCTTCCACATGCCTGCAGAAATTTGCAGATGAGGACTGTAAATATGTGTTAAACACAAAGAGAAGTCCTGTAGGTTCGGTATGAAAGTTACCTCTGGACACTCAGCAGCAAGTCGGAACCAGCATCAGGAGTCCTCCATGCTGGCAGCAGCTTCTGCAGGATCGGACAAAGTCAGTGGTATGAGAAATTAAGATGAAGAGTTCTATGCATCTTAGATATTCCTACCATGTCATGTTAGACCCAAAACAGTTAAAAGGAAAGTTTCACTGGGAAGTGAAACATAGAAACTAGGCATATCTACGGTTTTGTGTCCTCGCGAAAAATCAGGCAAGGCTTCCGGCTTGTTTTTTGTATCCTGATAAACCTGATCTTCTTGATTTTCAGAGTAGCAGAAATAAGTGTTCATAGAAGCAGCAGTCAGTAAAGTGACTATTAAATAGTACAGCCATGTAGTGAATATTTGATTCTCAGCTACTTCATTGTTGCCCATGTCAAGGGTCGTTGTAGCAGTGATAGTGGGAGTTAAAGACGTATATACTACTAAGAGTTAGAATTTTGGAGCCATTACTAAGCTTATAGAAAGTAAATAGGAATTATGGATTGCTCCATCTCTAATGAGAGATATAAACTACAGCATGAATTTGAGATAAATCTTGGATAGAAAGAGAGAAAACTACAGCATGAATTATCATCCAGGGAAAAGAAAGAAAAACTATGATATGAATTATCAGAATGGCATCCCTCGGTTATTAATTACAAGGAAGGAAGGAGGAGCACACCCTTCCAAAGGATTCACCTTTGGTGCAGTAAAGGAATCCACAGTGCGGAGCAGGGGAAGCATAGTGAAGAGGAAAGGATTTAGAGTGTGGAGAGCTAGAAATGCAAAATCAGAACTATTCTGTCACTCCTCTTCGACTATTTGTTATATATGGGGTTACAGATAGCTCCAATACTGGGAAAGCACCAACGTAATGCAAATTGTGGTTCTTTTTTCAAGGACCATACAGAATTCCTACAACCCATGCAAAATTCCTACCCCCTCTGAGTGTCTCTATTTCTGATATAACGGACCTATAATCTCATATATGTGATCCAGTATTCTAAAAGTTTGATATGCAGTTGAAGAAGAAACTGCAATGTCAGCAAGAACACATAAAACAAATATCATCTAATGTTTCTCACGAATCAAATAGGAAACGTTAAAAGCTGGACAGCGAGGAGATGAATAAAGTATGTCTTGAAGAACCTCTTTTCGCACCGTCTGTTTTCCAGTTATGTGGCGATTGTTGTTTGTTCTATTAATTCTGTCTCTATTTCCTTTTGGTGTTCTTTTTCTTTCTATTCTGATAGATCAGAAGCAGATTCTGATGTTCCTAGGGTGAGCTTCTGTAGCATGCTTATAAGACTGCCAAAAGAACCGAAAATGCAATTGACTAGAGACAAAGCTCCTTTCTGAACCATTGTAGTTCTTACCTATCTATCTTTTCTACAGATTATTCTGTCAAGCTTATTCGTCTCTTCCCATGACGAAGTTAGACAGTCTGAGTGAGTCAAGAATTTGAGGTATTAAGGTACCATATGGATTTATTCTGTGGGTACTGTGATACCATGTCTGCTAAATACCTATCTTCTCAAGTCAATAATGATACAATAGCTCGCTGTAGGGGAGCTAAAAGGCACAAACAGTTCAATTACAATTTATTAGAACAACATGCTTCAACTTTCTAGCAAGAGACAGAGTTCAAAATTCAACTTGATGGCAGTGATTGCATATTGAACAACTACTTGGAGTCTGCAGAAGCATTATCATCTGGAAATAGGAGTTCAATACTATCTGATAAGATATAGGGATCTGGAAAAAAACCTCAGTCCCGCTTGTATGCTCATTAACTGCAGCGTCTGCATCTTTGTGAGCCTGGTAGCGTTGGATGACTTTCTCTAAACTGTATATCACATCAATAGCGATATTAAGGATCCAAATAATGCACAGGGCAAAAGGTCGTGGAAAATTACAGATAGGCAAGGAGGTGCACTCTGACAAATAATAGATACAGAAGTAGATTAGCTGTTTCCTGTGAGACTTTGGCGACCGTTAGCATCAGATTGAACTCGAGCTTTAGTGGTTTATAATTATGACGCGACATACTCTGTTGAGCTAGGAAGTTCTGATCAAAGCAACATGCACACGATCCACAGAACAAGCATCCATATTCGACCCAACAGCTAAAATAAAGAGCAAAACAACAAATGAAACATGCACATCCTCAACCAGATATGGGTCCAAGAGAACTGTTAGAAAGGAAGACGGCAAGCGTCAAGGAAAGGGCCGAAACTCAGAACCAAACTTCTTAGATCGACCTAGATGGTGCATTGTTATATACCTCTGACTAGCCTGCTTTCTTTGATCGACCTAATTGAATATGATATGGGTAGTGAGCTCTTTTCTCAAAGTATGAGCTGTCTAACTAGTAGTGTGTTATGGTATTGGTATCTACGGTGAGTCGGCTTATTATGCCTTATTTTCTTCATATCCTCTAAAAGGTATTCATATGACTCTTTGGTTTCACGTACTTCCAGTGTTGGTGGCCCTAGTTTGAAACATGCAACTGATCAAAGAGGATGTATTACCAACCTCATGGTCATTGTGCACAAGGTCTGTATACTCGCATGGAGGATAAATCATCCAGACGTCATATCTGTTTTGCTTGTCTTAGAGTCGATTTGGTGTTTTCTTCTGTAGTTACACTTACACATACATGAGGGGTGGAATTAAGGGTAAAGTGGTTTAAGGAGTACTATCCTTTACACTTACAATGCTCGCCTATAGTCATATATGTCGAGGGGCTTAAGCGTTTGGTTCATTTGTCAAACACATGCCTCTCCTTTCGTATGCATCCAACGGTAGGGGTGGCTTGTTAGTTGTGAAACACAAATCTAGTAGGCAATATGGTACTAGCCTTATAATTAAGGGAGAGACCCATACTAATCTTACAGTTAGAGAAGGCTCTGGCGACTTGTCGAGTTCTTATCTTGTTGGCTTGCTTTTGAAGCCAGAGTTAGTGAAATTGCTTGATTATGTGTCAATTGACCCTAATAGATATACTTGTAACTAAGGGAAGCGCAATGACGACTTTTAATGCTTGTATGATATATACCCTTGTATATTCTATCTTGACTATTCTTTCTGCAATGTGCACTAACCATTGGTAAGTAGTGTTGTCAATCATGAGTATTCAAGCGTAAATAATTGTGTGATACTCTAAAATTTTGGTACCACATAGTTTTTATAAAGTTTTTCGAAATGTGAGGTTGTAATGATTTATTTGGTGAAAATAGTGTGAGTTCTTGGTATACGAGTCTAGAAATGGTGCTTACAAAACTACTTTCAAATGAATAGAGAAGGTGATTACTACATGTATAGCATGGATGAGATCCTACAATTATTGGAAGAGACTCTCTTGCATACTTAATTGAGTACATAGTTATTGCAATAATGATGGAGGCATGGAGAGGTGTAGATAAGGGGTCAAAGGCATTCTTTCCATATATGGCCTTGTCCCTAGACTAGATACTACAAGTCACTAGTGTTATTATGGAGAAAGTACCCCTAATGAAGGTTAAGCTCTCTTTTAAGGTGTGATCATTAATTGACACATCTAACAAAGTGTAAATTGATCAGGTTTTGCGAGCGGGCACACGATAAAGCTTCAAAGTGGCCTCTTCTACAGCAACCTTATCCTACCTTGAGATGGGATAGAAGAAAAAAAGGAGAACAAATTCATATTGGCTCTTTCGGAAGGCTATATACTATCTAGGGCTACCCCGTAAGCCATCAATGACTCCGCTATAAGGACAATGCAATCACAACCATGAAACAACCTGCCTCTGCCTATCTATGGTTGGGAAACGGTGTTGTCTTGTCCAGACCAGACCATATATACGGTCTATGGTTCAGATCGACAGGCTGGAGTATAGATCACTGACTACACTGTCTGGTCCAAACCACGCCTGTGCGGTCTGGTACTGCCTAGTCCATATAGACCACACTCAACGGAAAATGAACAATTTGTTTAGTCATCCACAAAAAAATTGAACCAATAACCAAATAGAAAAAAAATTGTATTAAAACGTTAATTCTAACATGCATGAATAATTTTGACACCATTAATCTTAGTACATAACATAGATGTAAAAACCCAAATTGCAGCATAATGTCATAAACATTAACATAATTTCACATAGAGACACGATTAATTCTACTCTCTAGTGAAATGTGGTTGTGAATGAAGGAGGGGACGAGATTATCAAAATTAAAGTTGAGACTTGGGTGTCGTTGTGGGAGTTTGGAGAGTGGTCGAATGGGCTGTTAACACGTATTGAAAAGTAGGTTGGGTACACGGTTTGGTCCTGTAAATCGCGGTCTAGACCAGACCAGACCAAAAAATCAAAACATCAAATATTACAGACCATGGACCGGACCAGACCAAACCATACTTAATGGTCTACGGTTCGATTTGGACCATAATTTTGCTAACGGTCTGGTCTATTTTTCCAGCCCTATGCCTATCTTTGGTCATTTTAATCAATGTCTGCAATGTTGTCGGTTTAATCAAAAAAAATTGTCGATTTAATCAAAAAAATTGCTTATCAGAGTCCAAGCCAGGATTAGAATTTAGTCTAATCCTAAAGTATTCTACCACTTACTTTTTTTATACTTTTTACAATCCTTTTTTTTTCTTTTCACTATAAGATATTCTCAACTCTTTATCCCTTGCCTAAGGGTTATGTGGTGGAAAAGGGCTAACTTGTCATGTAGTTATGGATATGGGCTTTATGATATAGCTCTCATAATGCATTCTAGTTTGTTTTGACATTTTTAGTTCAAGTTGAAGGTAGATTATATAATTAAAGAGCTTTAAATCCTTAGTGTCTTCCTAACCATTGTTTTATGTGTTTTAATAGAATAGTGTTTATATCACTTTCTCTTAAACTTTGCAGGTCAAGTGTGAAACTTCTTTTGTCTACAACTGCAAGGACCTAGACCAAGTTGCGGCAAAGACTCGATTAGCAAATGGGATGCTAAAGCTACTCGATTAATCTGTTTGTTCATATTTTGATATTTATGAATGGAAAGAAACTCGAGAATCTTATGTGGTAAAAAATAACATGTTCAAGCCATTACAACGAAAGTTTATATAGCCATTTGTGAGACTTATATTGCATTTAAACTCGTCACCTTAGACCTAAGGGTTATGTGATGGAAAAGGGCTAACTTGTCATGTAGTTATGGATATGGGCTTTATGATATAGCTCTCATAATGCATTCTAGTTTGTTTTGACATTTTTAGTTCAAGTTGAAGGTATAATATATAATTAAAGAGCTTTAAATCCTTAGTGTCTTCCTAACCATTGTTTTATGTGTTTTAATAGAATAGTGTTTATATCACTTGCTCTTAAACTTTGCAGGTCAAGTGTGGAACTTCTTTTGTCTACAACTATAAGGACCTAGACCAAGTTGCGGCAAAGACTCGATTAGCAAATGGGATGATAAAGCTACTCGATTAATCTGTTTGTTCATATTTTGATATTTATGAATGGAAAGAAACTCAAGAATCTTGAGTGGTAAAAAATAGCATGTTCAAGCCATTACAACGAAAGTTTATATAGCCATTTGTGAGACTTATATTGCATTTAAACTTGTCACCTCATACCAAAGGCAATGCTATTCTATGTCGTTTGGCAATGGCTCAATCTCTTCTTTCTAACCTCCTCAAACCTCTAACAAACTATCCATAAAAAAAAACCTCTAACAAACTATAGTAGCTATGTTTTTTCCAACTCTTTGTAACACCTTTTTGTATTATTGACTTAGTTTATCCTTATGTACCCTTCACTTTTTTATGGATATAAGCATGTATACATCCATAGAAAAGAACTTTAAGTCCTTGAGGATCTAAGATTGTACATGAAAAAATGGTTTTGATTCTAATATGTGTGGGTGTTCCAAAATCGTTTTGATTCTAATATGTGTAGATGTTCCAAAATCGTTAGATGTTGATATAGTAAGGAGAACATCAAATCATTTTTGCCAAAAGATAATAAACAATGTATTCATGTTATTGTTATAGAAGCATTCTATCCATTTTAGAATGGACTATTAGGGTTAATATCAAAGAAGGATAGCCTAGGGTATACCGATAAGGGAAGGGGGAAATTACTTTTCACAGACTTTTGATTCATGCAATTGAGAATATGGTGCAACGATCACCATGATTGGACGTTCAAGATCATACTGCTGAAGATAGTTTTATGATTTTCAATTGTATGTCATTTGAATGATAATTATTGAAATCGTGATATAGGAGAGGTTACATGACGATTGACTTTACATAATGAAGAGAGATAGAAGGTAAGAGAGCAGTAAGTCATTTAAACATTCAGTATAGCAAAGTGACCATAAAATTATATGAGCTTCATTGTGGCATGAGTATTGTCGAAGGTTTTATCTACTATTGATAGGAAAGGGTGGTGTGGTGCTATTGAAAGCTTTTTCCAACCATTTGTTTATTTGCCTTGATCTTTTGGTTGCACTTGGGGTTTCTACAGCATTTGCATGTTCGTATTCCTTTCTTTTTCTACCATTTTACTTAATAATACTAATTCAAGATTTAAAAGGTTTATGTTGAGTAGCAAGTCAAATGTGCCAAACCAACATCCAAGTTGAATTGGAGCACTCGAAATGTTTAATAAGTCATTTTGGGTCCTTGTATGTCTGTGGTGCATGCAAACCTTATATGTTGCAAGGTATCTCATATCCTATTGACATGATTCCTTTTCACCATGCAAGGTATCTCATATCCTATTGACATGATTCCTTTTCACCATGCTCTACATTTAACATACTTACATTATTCCTAGTCTTTGCTTGGTGTTGAAGACACAACAACTTTCTATCGAAAAAAAAAAGACACAACAACTTTAGTTCTCTACCACCACCAATTTTAGTTGGACCAAATTGTGGAATCTGGGTTAAACGACTAGTGAGAGTATATGAGACTCTTTCCGGAGGTAGAATATCCTTGAGTTGATACTCGAAGTTCATAGAAACTATTGGCTATCCTAAGTGGAGATTCAGAGAAAACCAATGTTCACCATACAAGGTGTTAGATGATTCCAGGTTTATGACCACATTTTCTTTCTAAGCTCTTAGGGTCTATGATGCAACGATATGCCAAGTCACGGCTTATCGTCCCTAATCCATCCTATGAACTTGGGAGGGAACCGCATCACAAATATGGTTTGGAAAAGAAAATCCCAATGGACAGTGTCAAACGCTTTCATTAGGTCAACATTAATAGCACATCTAGAGGACAGCATTCTTCTATGATAACCACTAACAAGCTCCTAAGCCATCATAATATTGTCAACAATTCGCTCATTCTTATATTTCTCCAAATGAGGATCATCATATGGAACACGAGGTTCTATTTTGACTTTAATCTTCGTTTTGAAACGTTATTTGTCATGTTAATCTTCAAAAAGTTGAAAAAATAAAATGGTTTACCATTATTTTACTTGTTACTATTGGCCACCTAAACCGTGGAGAGTTGGTGGAGCAAGCCTCAACATTTTGATTTAGCATGCAAGCTGCTATAAGCCTAGGTTAAGTCAAATTATCTACGTCGACATTACATAATCCGCGAGGCTAAATACAATAAGCCAACTACACTTAGTTATAGGTTGGGTTTATCAAGAATGGAATTCATGAGAGTAAATGAGAAAGCAATCAGAATCAATTGACTTGATTGCTCTAACTCTTCATGAAAATAGGCCAGCTAAGCAAATCATACATCAAGAGATAGGAAAGCTTATTACTCAATTCACCAACCTTGCCTTAGTGGCATGCATTCCGAAGGGTGAGTTGTGTTGTCTCGGATGGTAACATTAGATTTAACAACATGACAATATCCAAGCGGGGAGTCTTAAATGGATGATCAAATATATTTCAAAAGTTATTGTGTTGATAGCAGATTGAAAATAACGTTGAATTTATGAAACCTCATGATCACGAGATTGATAATGGCGGTTCTCAAGAACATTTTTAGAGATAAGTCAATGGATGAAAGTTGAGATTGTTGTCGATCATATTATATTAGTGTAATAACATCCTCGAGAGCGTTGTAAGAAGTAATTAAAGAGAAGGAAATGCCCTTTTTTTACCCATCAATCATATAGAAATGGTCTGTATTGTCTATTCTCTCTGATTTGAAGGTTGAAAAGGTCAGATGGTGATAAACTTGTATGACCTTTGGAGCAAAAATCTCAAAACGGTTTTGCATTTCAGTCACTCAATTTATTCTACCAGTTTTTGGATGAAGTTAAAATTGTGACATAAGACGAAGCAATTGCAACCAAATCCTTGCAGCTATAACTTTGTTGGGCTCAAACTCAGTCCTGCCCTTTTTCTAACTTTGTGCCAAAATAAGGGCAGTAGTCTATTTGACCCTTTCTCCGGCCCAAAAGACACCATGGAGACACCAATAACAAGTCTACGTGGTCGGACATCCATGCATGCACGGGGAATTGTGGCTCCAAAAAGTAAAAACAAAAGACACCATAGAGACACCAATAACAAGTCTACGTGTGCATTTGGTGTTTTGCAAATCGCTCTTACAGTCTCCAATAGAGTTAAGCAGAGTTTGAAAGGTTTAGCAACGTAAAATTGTGGCTCCAAAATGTAAAAACAAAAGTGGAAGACAGTGTATATCCTAGCTTGGATTGATAGAAAGATAGAGCAAGAGGCGTTTCTAACCAAAGAGTGATCCCATTTAGGCTTTGTTTCTATCTTAGCTTCGATAAACACTAGTGCAATACTGTGCGCTTCTTATTTTTCTACACGAGCATGTGGAGAATCTCATTTGTCAACCATTAAAACATGAAACATAAAACAGAACAGCATATAGGAACACATTTACAGTATATGGTATACACAACAGTCTACATAGTGGGGAAGGGAAGTTAGAGGAAGAACGATCGTAAAAGCAATAAATAACTTATACATTCATGGAGCAGCAATTAAGAAGGCGAAAGAAAGACCAACTTACATGGCATTTGAAGGAAGGCTCCTCTTTTTTTCATGTGAATATTAAAATCAAAACAAGTCTAGACAAGACTTTAGGAGTCGCAAAAGGTGAGATTCAGCAACTAGCGGCCTCGAACCAGCTCTATGAACCCGATATGCAGGAACGGCTACACCGCGAGAGACTCCTCTCTCTAAAGGTTCTGTAACAAATGATCATTAAAAGCTAGCAGTGTGGCACATGAAAGGGAGAACAATCAAACTACCAAGGCAACACGAAACACAGCAAGATCGGAGATGATAAGTTACAGACATTGTCCCTCTTGATCATGGAGGAATACCAGCCAAATTTGCATTTTTCAAGCCGTATATGACTGATTTGAGCTTGTTATTGGATTTTATCTTATTGTGTTCTCGTGATTTTGGTTTCTCGTTTACGACGGCCAAAGTAAACAAAGTGGGTGTGGTGGCCTCGGAGATGCCAATTGGAGCAAAAGAGTGTTGTTATCTACATAAGCATGCTATAAATTCAGCGGTTTCACGTTATCACGTATCTATTTGGTCGTATAACAAGTGGATGAGTGTGAAATGATTCAAGAGTCTCGCTATTTGTTGGAACCAAATAAAATATATGCATTGAATTCGTCTTCCCCGTACGTAATACACAGTCAACCTCTTCTTCTCGTTGAAATATGACACCGAAAAGCTCGACCCCCAGTTTCGGCAAAAAGGGGGTATTTATTGGGTTCTTTTTATTTTTTAATGCCTTACACTATGCCTTTACAAAGCTATTTTGTATTGTTGAATAGAAGTGGCTTCGTTTCATAATTGTTATACATTATAGGCGCAAGTCTCATCAGAATTTACAATATAAGTGTCCCTATGCATATTTAGGCAATCAATATCAAAAGAACTTAATATCATCTAAAGCTCACTCTTTTCTCAATATTATTTTAATAGCTCAAGAACTTTGTGAGCTATGATTCCATGAACTTGTAAGCTACTTTTCTTATTGCTAGGTGCTAGTAGGAATGGCAATCAAACTCATGTTCGCGAGTACCCGACCCAGTCAATGCGGGAAATTCCCGATTTGATCGGGTATGGGGCGGGTATGGGTAAAACCGGCAAAAAGTTTGATAGTTATTTGGCGGGTATGATTTTAGCCTCCTCCGCCCCATACTCATACTTATACCCGCGCCACCAAGAGAATTTATTCACATATAAAAAAAACATGTGGATCAAATTATAATCTATCAATGGTGATGAGGATAACTCGAGGAAATAAATAATAGAAATGCAATTGAGTGACCACCTTAATAAAAACCTAATTCATTTCCCTCAATTCTCCTTTCACTCTTTCACTTTCCCCCTTGTTAACCAGAATATGTTAGTTAATTATTACTTAGTAGATGTATCAGAGTTAGAACATAATAATTTGAAAAATATAATACTCTATATTGTGTATTAATGGATGTTTCAGGATCATATTCTTTAAACCTTATTAAGAAAATGACCGTGTTTTGTTGACTTTTTTATATAATAGGTTCATTTAGAGTTATAATTAAAACTTTTCTTGTAAGTTTTAGGTATAATAATGTTGGATATACGGGGACGGGTATTACCCATGGGTACCCGAAACCTACGAGTATGGGGATGCGTGCAAACATTCCCCCACATGGGTATGGGGCGGGTATGGGTTTGTGTATTTGAAGATGGGGATGGGGATGATTTAGACAAACTCGCTCCATTGCCATCCCTAGGTGCTAGCAAAGTTATGATGGATCATTTGAACATAAGTACAAATGTGTTGTAGAACTGTTATTTTATTAATCATTCGGTAAAAACTATTATGAACCGTCGCCGAGTTAGGCACTAGGAAAGACTCCAATTTCCGCCTTACACCTAACGCCTTCTTGAACCTTGGTTTTCATTTTCATTATTTTTGAAAATTTCATTCATGTGACCATGAGATCATATATACATAGTGGTATTCAATGTCATTGCATAACATCAAAGAGACTAGATAGTTTTAAAACAATAAGTATCATCGTAGCATGCATTTCTCAATAAACTTTTATCTTTTTTTAGTGCCACTAAGGTGATTCAAACATATAGTCTTTTTTTTTTCTTTGGGATAAACATGCTAATTGCTAACGAAGGTTGTTAAAACATGTGATTGGTATGAGTGTAGTTGTGGACTAGAGAGTAGTCTTTCATTCCATTGGGTTTAACTGTTTGACGTGATTGCTCTTTTACTTTGTAACTATCATTAATGTCTCAAACTTTGTGAGCTATTGAACCATAATTCCATGAACTTATGAGTAACTTAAGTGTTGTAGAACTGTAATTTTATTAATCATTTAGCACAAACTACTATGAAACAATGCCTTGGCACATTTAAGAAATGCCTAATCTAGTTAGGCGCTAGGCAAGGCTCAGATGGCCGCCTTATACCTTCTTGAACCTTGGTTTTCATTATGCATAAAAATCTTAATTCATATGACCAGGAGATCATATATATGTAGTAGTAATCAATGTCATTGCACAGCCCCAAAAGACTAAGATGGTTTGAAAATACAAAAGCATAATCGTAGTGTGTTGTGCATTTTTAGGGATGTTATACGTAAGGGTGACACATATTTCTTTTCAATGTGAGGTGCTACTAAGGGATTCGAACATACAATTTTATTTCGTGGGATAAACATGCTAGCTAAGGTTGTTAAAACATGTGATTGGTATATGAGTATAGTTATGTACCGGAGAGTAGTCTTTCATTCCATTGGGTTTAACTATTTGACGTGATTGCTATTCTAATTTGTACTTATCATTAATGTTTCAACCACAGAATGGTCTTTTACTCAAAAAAAAAAAGTTCCTTTCAAGAGAATTAGATTCTGCACGGTAATCAATAGAATTGAAGGAAACAAACCCTAATGTTTGATTACGATGAAATCCATCTAGAAATTACTCCTAAGTCCTAAACCCTAGGTCAGGAGACAATAAACTTGCACCAATATCACATGGCATAAGTTCCAGTCTCCAAGTAACGAATTCAACAGCAGCGAGACAGAAAATCAAAGTGAGTAGCGCGAAGCAAGGAATTGTAAAAAGAGGAGGCGAGGCGTGGCGCACCTTTCACCGCCGGAGAATTCGTAGAGCTTGCCGCCGGCGGAGAAGACGATAAGAGCGACCTCGACGTCGCACAGCACCGAGAGCTCCCTCGCTTTCTTGAACAGGCCGCCCTTCCGCTTCGAGAAGGTCACTTGACGGGTGCTCTTGTCCTCGATGTGGCGCATCTCGACCTTGCCTCTCCCCATTGAAGGCGAGCGGTGAGGAGTATCGGGAGCTTCCTTGGTTTTCTGGAGGCGGAGGCGGAGGCGGAGGCGGAGGCGGAGGCGGCGGGATGGCCAAGTGGCGGGATCTCGCGGTGCTACAAGTAGTGGAAGGAAAGCAAGCAAGTAGTGAGTCGGTACTCAGAACTGTAGTGACCTAGGTCAGGTAACTACCCTCAGTCGACCACGGTAGGGCCGTAGCGGATCATGAAAAATATTACCGTAACATAAATGGAAAAGAATATCCCAAAAGCGCTTTATATTGACGAAGAAAACGACATTGCTGAGGGCAGTTAGGCGTGAGGGAACTTGTATATGAAATCATTAATTATAGAGTCTAACTTCTAATCCAGCGTTTTTACGACTTGAATATATAGTGTCTCAAAAGCAAAAAGTAAAAAAAAAAAAAAAAAACCAAACAAGATATTTTGTTTGTGGGATTATTTCGGATGGGGCCACCAATTATAATATATCGTTCATTTAGTTGGAATTTTGTAGGAGGCTAAAATTCATAATTATAAATGACCGATTTATCCTCGTCTCTTTACAATATCTTTATATTGAACTTCGACAACAAATTATCATATATTTGTAAATCCAGCCTATAATAAATAAATCTCGAAAACACAAATTCAATATTAAATTAAACAAAGACTTTTTTTAAATCCAACACAAATCCAAAATCACAAAATCTCACATAATTCTTCAATCAACAATTTTACCAAAATCATTTATTCTTTAAAATCCTAAAAGCAAACTGTCTCTTACTCTTTTTTTCCATAGGAAACTTACAATACTGTCCAAAAGCACTCCAGCTTTTTTTCTTTCTTTTTTTTTTTTTTTTTTTTGGAAAAAAGGGGCAAAGAATGAAGAATGGTGAACACACAAAAGCTGGAAAAAGAAAAGTATATGCAATATGGAACCTAACATGTTGCAGAGCGGGAATAAAATATGTGGTGCGTTGTACAACTAGAGAAGTTGGGCGACAAGTTGGGGGCATATAGTTGGGTCGTTTTCGTTATTTGGGCTTTAATCATTGCACCTGCAGTGATTATGGGCCTCAGCCCTGAGGTAGTTGGCCCAGCACCCCGAATTAAAGGCCCATGCGTCAGAGAAAAATCAATGCCCGAGTGCTTCTCTTGATTCAAAATCAAAAGAAATGTAACCAAGTGTGGTTGGCTTGGTTAGAAGAAAGGCACAAACCCAAAGGACTGGTTCGACCTCTCCTAGGAACCGAATATTACAATTCAGCAGTGTTGTCACGCCGGCCGGCGTGCCACTGGTTGAACCTGGTTCAACCTGTACCGGTCATAAAACCGGTATGACACCACCGGTATGACCGGCATGATCGATATACGAATCTCCAAGTAAAATGATTTTATCTTCGTGAATTTAATTGATAAAAAGTAATTTATTATTTATTTTATGTGTTAAAAAGTTAAATGTTGATGTTATTTGTTGGATTCAAGTACAAATATTTAGGTATTGACGTTAAATGTCATGTTTAAATATGAGTATTTGTAAATTATTTGTAATATTAACCGGCATGAACCGGCACAAACCGGTATGTACCACCGGTCGAACCATTTCACTTGCTAAACCGGCACACTGGCACAAACCGGTTTGACAACCTTGCAATTCAGTAAAGGTCAAAATTCTCTCTCTAACTTATTTTTCAATTTTGGACTATAAATGGGATCCCAGATGTTCAGATATTTTCATGTCTAATCCTGCAATTAGCAGTTAATAAAAGGATGGCAGAAACAGAGAGCACAAGATATTTTCACCTTTCAAAAAAACAAAAAACAAAAGGAGCACAAGATATTTCGGGCGAAAAGGCAGGCGAAAAAGGAAAGGGAAAAAAAGAAAACAGCTTCTTCGACGAAAATGGCGATTGCGGGAATTGAAAATTACCAGCGGCGGAATCGCCAGCTCAAAACAGTTCAAGGAAATCGATCGCGCGATTCCGCGGGAATGATAACCTAACAAGCGAGAATTAAAGAGAGATGACGAAGGCGGTACCTTTCACCGCCGGAGATCTCGAATACAGCTACCCTACCAGTGCCGCCGGAGAAGCAGACGGCGAAGGCGACGGCGGGGGGGGGAGGGGGGGGGGGGATTCATCCGTATCGGCGGCCGGCGACAGTTTTCCCAAGCGGAACGGCACTTGGATCAATCGCAGAAGTCCATTTCTTTCTTGGATGTGGAAATTTGGGGAGGAAAGCCTTTGGGGGAGAGGTGAGTTAGATATTTTATTTTTTTTGTATAGATTTTGGCGATGACAGTGGGTACATTAGGAAGAATAATAATAAATAATATATGGGTTTTTTTACCAATAAACGACTTTTTCCCTGGGGAAAATTATCTAACTGAACTCAACTCTTTTTTCTGTAACACTACTGTTTTATCGTGGTTGTCAGACCGGTTAATAGCAAGGATTAAAAAAGTGTACGGTATTGGTGGTTGGACCGGAAAGATTTCGTATCGGAGGCTAAACCAACATACGTCATTTAGCTCGTGCGCAATTAGCTTGATTGTTCACTTTTATTCGATGGCGCGATAATACATATAGTTCAAAAGATGTTACAAACTATCACTTTAATATTTCATCTCACTTTAATATTTCATTGAAATTACAATTGTGTATTCATAGGTAGGGGTGATAAACGGTTATGTCGTTAACGATTTAACCGCTAACCGACAGTTAACGGTTAAACCATTACCCGCTAAGGAGAATGCGGATCGTTTAACGGAAGCTCGAAATCTCTTATCAGGTTACCTAGTCATAAGCGGTTAATAACCGACGGTTAGCGGTTAACCGATTGATAACTTATAAGAGTTTTTATTTTTAATCAACCGTTTGAGGTGCGGCAATTAAAAATATCATAATCCACCGTGATTTATATTAAAAACATATTAATATCTTAGTTGAAGATAATGCTTATTGTGATTATGTAAGACTAACTGTAGAAATATAATCAACATTCAGAGCATATTAATAAGCACAATAAAACAATAATAGAGGGTAATTCTCAAGAAATGTGATCAACTATAACCAAAAGCAATGCCCAGTAATTGAAGAAGTGCCCAGTACCATGGAAACGTAATATTGCATATAAAAAGAGTATGTTTTTCCTCTCGTGTGTCAATATATAATACTACTTTCACTGTAATTCTATGAAGCAAATTTAACTGGTGGTGAGAGGGAGGGAGGGAAAGAGATCATCCAAACGGTCGATTAAAGAAAGAACAACATTGTGGGAGAGGGAGAGGATTCGTTTGGGAAACAAAGTTGGGGATGATTGCCCGAGGAGAATGAGAATCGTTAAAAGGAATTTTAAAATTTCTTACCGAGTTACCAAGTCATAAACGATTAATAAATGAATTTTAGTGGTAGTTCAAATTCACAAACCTACTACTACTATCTCTTTCAAGTAAATAGGCGGTTAACCGCTAAAATAATCACTAACCGCATCGACGGTTAACGATTAACCGCTAAGTCTTGGCGAATCGGCTAACGGTAATAATTTTTCGGATAGCGGGTAACCGCTAACCAACCCGACTATCACCTTGGACGTGTGGCCTCTCACAAATCAATATAGTTGAATGGTACTGAATCTTGTAAGTTGTAACTCATACATCTCCATTTTCTTGTGAGGATTAAACAAATGTTGGCGTTTGACCAACAAGAGAGAGAGAGAAAAACTGGTAAAAACAAAAAGAATTCCATAAATGGGCCAATAAGCTCGTTATCCATTCCGGGAAAGGAAAATATCCTGATGCAACAAAATATCTTGCAGACCTTGTTATGGAATAGACCCTGTCCAAGTAAAATATCTTGCAAGTCGACGAATAATGACATCATCGTTTGGAGAAGAAAAAGAATTGAAGGGCAGAAAACATGTGGTGTGTAGGCCACACACATGGCATTACACAATTGGGCTTCTCTCTACTTTCCCATGCTGAACATATCCACGCCACAAAGCTTATACACTCATAGAAGGAGAGACGGAGACTTGCAGAGTGGCACTAGGAATGAAAATTGTTCGGATTGAGTCGGATTTTGTCAAATCTAAATCCAAATTCATGGGTTTATGTGTGAAAATTTTTTTGGGGTAAAGTTAGCGGTGAATTTAGGGCTGGGCCAACCTCCGTCGGATGCAGAGCTAACATAGTGCTTACAATTTTACGAGTTTAGGTATTCGACCCAATACTATTTAAATGTCGGTCGAGTGTTATTTTATAATAGAATTTTGTGCAGTTAGAAAAGCGGTCTAGATAAACATATACAAACAACTACTCCCAATTTAGCCTAGAAATTCTAGCCCGAATGATTTTCATTAAAAAAAACAATAAAACCTAAATGCCTTAAACGTAAAATACCGTATAAAGTATCATTGAAATTAGAAAACCCTCTAAACAAATTGATTTGTTGGTTGGTTCGTCTAGTGTTGACCTTGCCCGTTTATAGCGGCTACCTGGAGTGAACATTTTAAGCGATGAATTTTTCATTGATTGCATAGATATAGCTATTATATATTTTTGGGTAAAAAAAATTTATCAACCAAACCTTTCAGATTTTCCATATTATTAGCCGAACCTTTCAAAATATAAAATATTAGCTAAATATTTTGTAATTCATAAAAATATTAGCCATTTGTATGTTACCATTGGTAATTTTGTGATTATTTTCTTATTTAAAATCCTAAAATTTTGGAATGTTGACTATTTTGCTTCCGACATCTAATATTATATTCAAATGCGGCTCAGTGCTCTACTATGTTCTGGATCCGCCGCTGGGTAAAGCTCACTGGGTTTGAAAAATTCAAACCTAACCCGCTGGGTATCCGCGGGTTCATGGGTATCCGCGGGTTCATGGGTACCCATGGATTTTTGTCGTAAACAATTTTACAATAACAAGTTCCTATTAAAATTAAAGTCAAATATCAATCTCTCAATACAAATTATCCATATATAAAACACCATTCTAGAAAATTCAAGCAAATCACAAATTAACTATACAAATTGTTCAACACCAATCTAGAAAACTCAAGAAAATTGAAGCAAATCAGGAATTCTCCATAGACAACATGATTAATTGAAAGCTTCTTCCTGCTTGTCAATTAACCTTCTTCACTCTCCACTCGAAAATATCAACTTCATTCTACATAATTAGAAAGAAAAAATTAGACATGTCTCCACAAATATAAAGAAG